CTAGTTTCAAGGATCTCTAGTTTTCTTGTCTTTTGGCAATAGCCATTCCAGTTTCTCTTTCAATATATATACTTGTTTATATATATTTTGTTACCTCTCTTTGAGTGAAGGCTCACTTGTCTGAATTGTTTTTTCATCGAGTTCTTGTCCTTGACAAAGCCTCACTATTATATTTATTAAAATCAATGCAAATCCATGCACAACATAAAGAAAGATATGGTGGTTTAGCACCTAAATTAAAGAACAACAATATGGTTGCATCACAGTTCAAAATACCTCCAAATTAATAGAATGTTAATCTTTAATAAAACAACCAAAAGACATTCATACTTAAATTTATTATTGTCATTTTGTGAGATAAAAATAACAATAATGTGACAATGAATTACAACACTTTGATCCAAATAGCAATTCTACTATAACAAGTAACAAAACCACAACAACATTAGCAACTTACAACATGAACAACATATTATGACAATGTCATATTACAAATAGTCATGTTATTAAGGACATGAATTTTAAACAAATAAAAACTCAATACACTCTTCTATCACTTGGAAAGAATAGATATTCACTCAAAACTACCATAGTATTGAAATTAGAATGGCTATTACTAAAGACAAGAGGACTAAAAAGTCTTGAAATAAGACTAAGGATTAAAAAGGCCTTGACAAGAGTGAAGAAGGCTTCACTCTTTCCTCCATATATATTATCGAACTAGGAGCTATGTGGCAACATTGTATAAGACCTTCAACATGTGTCTTAACTTGCAAGATAAGTTTTCTATATGTGTACCACACAGTGAGCTTGTACTACAATCTACTAACTCATGCAATATGTGGCTAACTTGTTAGCCAAGTTTTTCACCTATTAATCAACTACAAATACATATAAAGTCAAAGTTGCATCTATAAAGCTTTTAGAAAGCTCTTCTAGAAGATATTATCAAATTTATCTAATTTAATTTATTTCTATCTATTCACATTATCTAAATAATTATTAGAATAAATATGTATGTTTATGATATAAATCCCTCTTTTAGAGACAAGTTCTTCAAGGAGCAATGATCAAATGTTGATGAAGTCCAAGATGCAATAAATTGTATTTACCACATATTTTGATCTTGATTTCTTTCAAAGGTAGTTGATAGGTCATCTCAGCCATTAATAATGTCTCATTCTAAGGTAGGAAGACCACCTTGATATTTCATTGTTATTGATGCTTTAGCAACTTCCTTCAAATAAAACATTTGTAACACCATCAAGAATCATTTCTACTTTTAATAAAATCAACAAACATTAAAAGTCTATGAAGTAGTATTCTTTGTGAGGTTATGTTTTTAAATACATAGTATTCAATTTTTCATAAAGAAATTGTGATTTTTGAGAGATTGAAAAAAAATTCATTAGTTTATAGCAAGTTCTCAACTATATAGATTAAATTAAATTGCATGATTGAGACTAATCATCTATATAATCTATCAATTTGATATTAATGAACTTAACTAGAAAGCACATAAATTGCATGATGAATTAATTTATTCTTAATCTTGAACTTAATGAAACATTAAACAAAAAGTTGTGATATATTTTGTGCATAATATTATGTTTTAATATATATATTTGAAGCGGATGTTTTCTATATATTTTTGCTATGCACTACATTTGAGGGTTTTAAATGACATTAAGAGAGATTAAAGGTATTTTGGTAGAAACAAGTAAATGTATAGTTTGCTACTATAAGAGTTTAAGATGCCACAAAATAACTCAATAAGATATGCTAGTTAGAAGATAAGAATCACTAAAAGTGGCAGCAATTCAAAAATATCAAGTATAATTTTTTAGGGAGTATCAATCTTTTAAACCATAATAATAAAAGCTTTCTTTATTTTCTTTGAAGTGATATTGAAAAAGATATAATTCTAAAAAATTCCAAAAGTCTTATTTATATTATTTTTTAAAAATCTTAAAATTATAAAGATAAAAAAAAAAAAAAAAAAAAAAAAAAAACATTACAAAGTAATGTCATTACATAGTAATTTTAACATTACAAAGTAATATTATTAAAATTAATAATATATTTAAAATTTTACGATGAAAAATATTTTTGTAGAAATAATATTAATTTTAATTTGGAATACATGTCCTTATTTTGTTATCATCATTCTAAAAACCACTATGGAATTACTTAAAGAAGTCTTTTGTTCAATGTAAGTTTTAAAGAGAAAAATAGCAACATCATTAGACATAATTAGGTTATGTAATAGGATAGTATTATCCTAAGATATTTAAAATTAAAAGATGTATTATTTTTAGTATTAAAAATTCTAATTAATAGTATTAGATAAATAAAATCTTATAGTATATTAGATTATCTAATATACTAGAATTATCTAATAATATTATATAATTAAATTTTATATAAAATAGAATATAAAAAATAAAAAATATGCAACTTATAATTAAGTTGCATTTGGCATAAAGAACATGTATAATTTTTTAAAATTGCATCATAGTATCATGAAGTAAAATAAGACATACAAAAACATCAAATATTAATAAAGTCATAATAAAGAAATACATAGGATTTTTTTTAAATGATAATTTAATAAATTAAAAAATATATATATATATCAAATTAAAAATAAAAATTACTAGATTATATGTAATAAATTATACTAAATTTTAAAAACTATATTTTATATTATAAAAATAAATAAAAATAATGGTATTTAAAAGACTTAAAGAGAAGAATAGGTGATTTCAAAAAACCTAATTATCTTTGTGTGTTTTAGAAAATTCATCATAAACTTACAATTAAATATCAAAGCATATGTACTATATAGTCATAATTCATAAAATATATATGGCTCAAATTTAAAGCTACTAACAATTGTTTTGAATATTCCTCAAATATCTACAAAGCTATACATATCTAGAAAAAATTTAAACCCTCAATACCTAAAAACCTACACAATTTTATAACAATTCAATGACATATATAAAATAAGCAATCTCCAAATGAACTTAAAGGTGTTTTTAAAATTGCTAAAAATCCTTCTATAAAAAAAGTTACAATCCTAAAGTCGAAGTCAAAGTTGATAGATTTTACAAATTAAGAACTCATAGATCAAGTCATCCATATGATTAGAATTGTAGACAACAAAAATGAAAGGGGGAGGTAGATTGAGTCAAAAGTCAAAAATAAGGAGGTCAAAAAACCAGGCACATCCATATAATTCTAAATTCTGAACCCTAAGCCTTCAAGTTCAAAAAATAACAACACCAAAAAACCAAACACACCCTAAAACCTAAACTCTCAATTCCTAAAACCCTGAATTCTAAAATTTGTGAAATAAATTAGCAATGTGGGAAGGAATATCAAAAGATATGTGTAAGAATTGTTTTTTAGGCATTGAACTAGAAATCACTGTTTATATAAAGAAAGTTGTGAATAGGAGAAAACTTTGTAATAATCTTGACTTTTTTTTTAATTAGATTTCAATTTTAATCTAAGTGTAAAAACTTTAGAATGTATTTTTTTAGATATGATAACTTTCTAGAAGAAGTTTCAATAACCATATAACATTTTTATAATCATCTAACAATCTAATACCTATTATTTATATAATCTAATTCTATATATTTTTATTTCTATTTATATAATTGGTCAAGATATCTATAACAAAAATTACAATAGAAAGCAATAGAAGAAGAAAATAGATTAGGCAATGCATTTTTGAGATTTTTATAGTTGAAATGAATGAGTTATGTGTATTTTTTATCTATATATATATATATATATATATATATATATATACATATATTTATCTTAATACAAAAAAAAAAAAAAAAAAAAAAAAAATCTTTTTCTTTGTTTTTTTTTATTTAATTTTTTATCTTGAATCTATACTATAAAATAGAGAAGCTCCACAATGTGAGGGATTAAATCTTTGTTTAAAAGAAACATTTTTATCTTATCTTTCAAGTTGCTAATTTAAAAATCTCACAGAAAAAATTAACAAATTTAGATTTAAAATTTATAATCCCAAGAATTGAATTAGTCATCCTATTACATCTTCCTACCATCTTAATTTGTGTGGTGCTTTCTACCCTTTACTTGAGAAGATAGACATTTCCTACAAATAAGGTGGTATTGATTTCATTCTCAATTATTGCTTGACTATCAATCAATTTTATTTATCAAAAATATATATATATATATATATATATATATCCAAATTAATTTAGTGGTAGAAATAAAAATTGAAGTAAAAGTTTTGTAATTGTAGAATACCAAATTAAGAAAACAAATTATTGGCAATGCTTAGTCTGCCAAACTATTATATTTTCAAAGCTTATTATTATTATTATTATCATTGTCATTATTTTTCAGTACACTAGAAAATTTCTTGTTTACAGTAGTCCACACAAGAGTCCTTCTATGTGATAATACAAAAATCAATCATGTTGCTATTCACTCTACCTAGCTACTCATTCTCAAGTTTGAAAGATAGATGTCATTCAGTTATTACTCTAGAGTAATCTTGAAGACGGAGGCATGATCATTGGCAACACATTCCTTACCCGACCAAGCAAGAAGGCTTATTTGATAGGATAAACTCTAAACCTTTAGACCTGGAAAATTTGAGTCCTTTCGAACAAATCATGCATGCCAACTTTAACAGCATAATCATTCAGGCAGGTATCCATGTCCAACAAAATGGAGCCTCGAAAATGGAACATGTCATGTCGATCCATACAGAATTGTAACTGTTCTATACAGACGGAGGAAATTGTTCGAGTACAGAAAATAAAAAAATAGAGGCAATGAATGGAATGGAGCGCTCACTTGTTTGAGTGCGTCAATCTCATGTAAATCTCTTACTCCTGCATGTAAGGGTATGACCACTACAGAACAAACCTGCATGATATCCATTGTACACAAGGAACATACAGCAAATCCTATCAACATTATGATGAAGTGAAAGAATGAAGTTCACATAAAACTTTAAGTTTCGACTTGAAAAAAGTGATCATAACAGATAACTCTTTGGGACCAAAATAATCAATATATGTACATTCAGAGCAGACGTCAATTGACTGATTTCGTTGAGGCCCATTACTCTTTTGTGATGACAATTACTATCAACACACAAGTGACCGCGAAGTCACTCACTTAACTCCACTACTTGGTGAATTTCAATGGCAACAATTCAACCCCTCGCTAGTACTCCATCCGCCAGAACTACATTGTGTATGGTTTCATCAGAGTTTACAGCGGGATCGATTCTGTACAATATCGAGCTGATAAATTGTGCTGATAGTGTGGAAGCTGATTTGATGCACTGCAGCTACTGGATGGTTACAAGATAACCCTCCAACCCTTCGAATTCACAAGGATTCGCGTCCCCAGACTGGGTGGTTCTCATAGCATCATCAAAGAAAATGGAAAAATGTAGACTGCATCTAAAACTTGTGACCGTTTCCAGGCTGCTGTAAGTGGATAAAGTACAAAATCCTGCTTGTATCGTCAGAGTTGCTTCTGATAGGTGGTCGAGAGAAATTCAGCTCACCGACCCCTAGTGGTGCAATTTCCGAAACATGCTGGAGGATGGGTCGTCGATGAAGTGATACTTCCAGGATCCAGTGTTATCTATCGTTTTTGTCAATCAGGGGCATTAAAGAATGTGATTTTTGCAGTGACCCTGACGCAACTGCTTGAAGAAGCTCCTGAAGTTTCTTCGCATTCAAAGGTTTGCTGATATACCCGTCCATACCTGCAGAGATAATGCGCTCAGCGTCCCCAGACATTGCATGTGCAGTCATGGCTACAACGGGCATAAATCTAACTCTCTTGCCACGGCTTGGATCTCTGTTTTTCTCCATTTCCCTTATCTTTGTCGTTGCCTGAAATCCATCTAGAACTGGCATTTGTACCTACGGCACGATACACAATACACCTTCATTTACAATCTGTACTGAACTCTGCCAAAGCGTTCCATAGATAAATGAATATGGAAAATCTAGACAAAAATATTGAAAGTGATTGTCATTATTTCCAAACATACCACTAAAGACGGATAATAAAAGCACTTACATCCATTAATATTAGATCAAAATCCTCCTCAGCTGATTTCTCAACAGCTTCATGGCCATTGCAAGCTAGGACTGTTGTATGGCCCCACTTTTGTAGAAGAGTAACAGCAACGCGTTGATTCACAATGTTGTCTTCAGCAACGAGAATATGTAGACCTCTGCTTGGTTGAGCAATTTCAGCCACAGCTTTACCCTGCTGCCACAAGAATCGGAAAGTACAAATAAGTTGAGAAATAAGGTTCAATACGGACAAGACACAAGATAAGTAAGCTTTCTTACATGGTCACTTCGTAACCAATACAAAAGATATTACAATACACAATTCGAAGTCTACATACTGAGCCACGCTGCATTTTGCAATTGACTTTAAATAAAAGTACGAGCATAAGGCACATGTCTCCGAAATTCGAGACAGAGGGGTGACCATTGATGCGATATTCTCAACCGAGCGGGTGATGTGGATCTCCATCTATCTTTTTACTGAACGAGATGCACGTCACGGAATACTAACTAAAGAAAAGTGTGAACAAAATGCCACAAATCAATCAAATCGTCATGTAGCAACATCAAAGCACACTGAACATTCGCTAGAGGTGGGATAGCCATTTGGTTAAATGTGATTGATCCAAGAAGTGATTAACCAGCACATAAAAATTTAAGGACAAATTTTTCAATCAACACTCACACGCTTGAAAGTCTAAATCCTTATTTAAAAGCAAAAAGAGACACTGCTTGTAGGGAAACGTTAATTTACAAACCTAATAAAATTAGCTTCATATTGAATAAATTAAAATTTCTATCAAGGTCATTATAAATTAAGCCGCATGCAACCAGCACCATAAAAGTCGTAGAGAAGTCAACAACTTCACAGCAAACCATACAAGATCTTGTATTTCAAAATCCTGGGATGTGTTGGCGAATTGGGCATACCTCCCCATTCTCCTGTCCCAAGTCTGTCCTAGATAAATTGCCATAAGGTTGTCCCTGATAAGTCAATTTTAAGTCAAATTTGAATTAGAAGAAATACTTCTAAACCTTCCCCAAATATTCGCATTCGTTTACACCAAAATTAGACCGAAAGAATACAGTAAGCATTAAAATTGAAAATACGGTGCTCCGTATGAATCCTTTCCTGTGTAGTAGAAGACTAATCATCGGTTTAAACTTGCAAAACCCAAAATGCACAAATCGTTTCTTAAAATGCTTTCAACGAACACATGAAATCTATTCTTGTTTCTGATGTAAAAGTAGGAACATATCTTTCCAAACACAACAGAGTCACTGGGCTATCAGAGGTATGGTAGAACACTGATTGTTCTTCCCGACCTAGTCTATTAATGTCATATGCTTCGTTGAATCATGACTCTTTCATCCTCACTGAACACGAGAATTATCAGAAAATTAACAGAAACCAAGCTATCCAAATAGCAGTTGCAAGTTGAAATATACTGTGCGATTAAAAACTAGAACTTATTTCCTGACTTTCCATGTAAAGAGATAGTTAGGTGTGCAATTCTGTAAACCACATCAGACTGAGTTTATCCGAAGGATCAGTAAGCAGAAGTGAAGAATTTGAAATAGACAAAAACAAACAAACAAAGAAACAAAAGAAAAGAAAAAAGAAGAGAAAGAACCAACAAAACAACAGCGCAATAGGGGCCTACCTGCGCTACAGCTTTACTGTCCGATATCCCAAGGGCAACATGTAGTGCTCGAACCAAAACAACGCGCTTGACAGGTTTTGAGATATGAACTTGTACTCCAAGTTGCCTACATCTGCGGAGAAAAAAAAGTAGCTGTTTAGAAATATTCGTGTATCATGAAGAAAGTTTAAAGCACTAAATCGTAATCATGGAACAGAAAGTGATCAATCTTACAAAAGCACAGAAAATAAACCACGCTAAATTCTCTACAAACTCTACCATCAGCTATCCTTGCAAAACAAAATGAAAAGCAACGCTACGCTACGCATTTAACGCTCCAATTGCACCAAGTCAAAGATTCAAAAAGGAAAGAAAGAGATTAAGATTATACTTAGTTGCATCTGAATGATCGACAGAAGTGAGCATTATAATGGAAGGAACATGTCCGTTCGCTAAACCAGGCCTCGCAAGAGGGCGAGTCAAATTTGACTTTCCAAGCCTGCATTGTGAGTCCTGACTCCGGAGTGTAGAACCCTTTAAAATATGTGATATCGACTTATCACTACTTCCAAGCGCATCCGTTTCTCTAAATGAATTATTGCCAGCTCTATCTTCAAGGCTCTTTTTCGTATCATAATTTTTAAGATTCTTCCTGACAGAATCAGGAACCTCTGGATCCACCTGAACACACGCACTCTATCCATCAACAAATCATGAAATTACCGCAAATAACATCACTGTGATGACACAATAACGTTCGATGACGTAACATACAATAAAAACATGTGAAAGGTTTCTAACACCATGCGTACTGAATTCCATTACCCTATTCCTATCATTAATTCCCCTAAAACAATAAATGTGCATAACTTGAATTTAGATTCCAATACCTCATCTCCTTCGCTTTCAGAATCGGACTCCTCTAAATCGCCAACGGAACGCACCATTAAATTACTGTCTCCCTTATGCAAGGGAATAATGCGAGGTGTTGATCCTAACAAATTAGGTCTTTCGTGAAGGAAGTAAACAAGTTCAGAAGCATCCTTTCCGTGAAGCCACATATCTAACAACAATACTCGAAACTTCCGGTCCGCATCTGCCGCTCTTTGTAAAGCAATCTTTGCAAGTTCGATTCCATCGACTCCCTCTGACACCATGCCCCATACCTGTGGTAAAAAGAGAAGTGAAATCCTTGTAAATAAACACTATGCTACAAAACATATTAAGGGTTGTAATGTCAAAGAAACAGACATGCCCAGACTAGACTAGGTCATATTTGATAACTATGATACGTAACCATATCTAAACATATGCTTCACAAATGATGCAGATGAACATGCTGGCATCATGTAAAAAACACGAGAACGTTGCACCAAATAACAAACCTTAAGCATATCCACCAAAATGGCTCGATTGACACTATTATCATCGACAACGAGGACATGCATGTCCTTCAAGCTCTCCACGTTTAAAGAAGATGGAAGGTCACAAGCAGGCGGTATGTGAAAATTCGCAGTGAAAGAGAAAGTGCTTCCTTTTCCTTCGCTCTCAACCCACATAGTCCCTCCCATGGCTGCAGCTAGCTTTGAAGAAATTACAAGACCCAGACCTGTTCCTCCGTATAACCTGCAACAATATAATCCTTACTTCACGAATCCTACTGGAAATCAAAATAACTATGCATTTTAAAATATTTTTGCACAGATAAATTATAAAAAACCAAGCTTCATGAGTGCTTGTCCTCTGGATAGAAAAGTAAAAGCGAGAATCAAGTTACACATTAGCTTGATGATAACAATGATAGTAGTAGTTCACGAGATCGAAGTGTCCTTCGAACAAATCTCTAATTTTTTCGAAACGTAGAAACAAGTCCCTATACCTTGTTGTTGATGAATCCACTTGGGAAAAAGCCTGAAATAACAAAGACTGCTTTTGCTTTGGTATCCCAATTCCTGAAATGAAAGACAAAACATGCTTGATAGAATGCAGATAAAACACCTCATGTCTCAGTCCCAAACGAATCCAACGCTTTAAAGTTCCACAACTAGACACAGCTCACCAGATCACAAAACTAGCAGAGGTTACATATGTAAATACAACACAAGGCTTGAAACAGGATCTAGCAATTCCAGAGAGATAAACAATGTGACTATACCAGCTAATTTTCAAAAAAAAAGAAAAGAAATGAGGGACAGACTTACCAGTATCCCTAACAGAAAATAAAAGCTCAATATTGTCACCATTCCTGCTCTTGACCATGGCCGACACAATAACCTCTCCTTCTGCAGTGAATTTGATACTATTTCCTGCAAGTCAACAGGGGAAAATCAAAAAAACCAAGGATTGGAAATGGACAACCATGGAGAACTAGGGCACATCGACCATGCAAAAGTTGTGACAGTAGTTACCTATAAGATTCACAAAAACTTGGAAAAGCCGGCCTGGATCACCAATAATCTGATCAGGAACAGTATGATCCACCTGACAGGCTAACTCAAGGCCTTTCTTATTTGCACGGGCAGCCAAGACAGACACTGCATGCTCCAATTGATCGTACAATGAGAACTGAATATCTTCCATCTCCAGCTTCCCAGCCTCAATTTTACTGAAATCTAAAATATCTGTGATGATTCTCAGCAAATGTTTAGCTGAAAAACGGACCTGCGCCAAGAGAACCAGTTCCAATTGTCAAATGAAAAGAAATGAAACCTGACAAACTAAAATTATAAAGACGCGCCCGTATGTTACTGTTAGACTGGAAACGCAAACTTATTATCAAACATACAAATATCAAAGTTAGGAACCTCCATTATTTTATCAAAATTAAAAGCAAGTCCAATAAATAGCCCAAACGCTTGCTCTCGTGAGTAGTACCTCCGTGGTTACAGATAGACTACCTAAAATCAACATAGAAGCATGTCTCCGCATATGAAATTAAAAATAGAAGATAAATGACCACATCCGTAACATGTAGACAGTATAAGCGGCGACCAACTATCGTCAACCAACGGTTTTGTCATGTTCATATTTCAGCTGAAAATTTGAAAAGCAGCACTAGGTTCAAGAAGCAAGCAAAAGGTACAATATCCATCCAAAAATCCCAATGCACATAGGTCGAAGAAATCGTTGCAATGAACCTGACAAAAAAGAACATATCTATAGTTATGCTGTGGGTAATACCAGATCGAGGTACTCTTGCTGCTCCGGGGAGGTTCGAGTATCCAGACACAGTTCCGTGCAGTTAATAATTCCATTCAAGGGCGTCCTGATCTCATGTGACATGTTAGCCAAAAATTGTGACTTCATTTTGTCAGCCTGTAGAGCAGCATCTTTGGCTTTTTTTACTTCCTCCTCCACTCTCTTCCTTTCTTCTATTTCGATTGTCAAAGCTGCATTAACTTCAGCCAACTCCCGAACCCTTTCGCTGACTTGCATAGACTGCAGGATGCAAACCGGTTCAGAAGTGAACTAATCATTCAAAAAAGAAGAGAAGAGGAGGAGGAGGAAGGCGGGAAGGGGAAAGGGAAAGGGTAGGGAAGGATAAGAAATAATTAGCCAAACTGAGAATGATATGTTGTGTCACTTTCAATGGCAAAAGTAACGACCGAAAAATAGGTCTACAGAAGCATTTCCAATCCAACTTCAGGACATAGCCGCCCACTTAAATAGAGAATGTAATAATGAATAAAAATAGCAAAATCAGGCATTCAAATGAGCTAAATGGTGCACCTTATGTTCCAATGCTGCATGACTGGTTGCAATCTCTTCAGCCATGCTATTAAAAATTCGTCTTAAATCATCAATTTCATCTCGAAGAATCACAGATCCAATCTTCACTCTCGCCCCCATGTCTCCTCCTTTAATAGCTGTTGCCACTTTTCCCAACTCGATGATTGGAGCGGTAAAAAGCTGAAACATTATCAACATACAAACACAGAAAATGATCAGAATCAGACCAGTGCTCACCCATTTTCACCTGTTGAACTTACTTTTCATTCAGTATTCACTAACGAATTATTACATTATAAACATGACCCAAAAAAATTCTGTTAATATGCAAACCGATAATCAATCGGCAAAGTTAAACACCCCTCAGCTACAAGAAAATAATTAAGAGTGCACGAGAACCCAACAAAGATGTGATGTAAGAGAATGTAGACAATGTTCTGTATTTGAAGAACGAAAGTGGAACTGGAAGGTTATCCTAAACAGAAAACAGTCATAGAGGAGTGATACAGCCAGATGCAACCTACCTTGGCAAGCCCAAGAGAAGCTAGAACTCCCACAAGCAAAATTATTATCATCGCTAAAATAATCACAACGCGAACTCTTTGTACCGGTTGGAATGCTTCCTGCTCACTCATTTTTGCTAGCAAGCCTGACAAATATATAAAACAAGTCAGCCAGAACGTTCCAATGACCAGAACCATAGCTTATATCCACAACAATATGTTTATTGATCATTATCAATAAAATCGTGAAAAAAAAATAAATAAAAAAAAAAAATCTACCTATCTTCCTGTGATGGCTTAAGTGTAAAAATGTAAACAATACAGAGTAAATGACATAATGAACAACAAGCTTAAACCACAATGCTGTCGATTCGACAGCTGTGAACCGAACTCGTACATAACTCGGGTTTACACTAAAACAGGTGCACTGTAATGTAATGTAATGTAGAGGACACGTGAAAAAAAAAAAAAAAAAAAAGAGGAAGGAAAAAAAAAGGGGGGGGGAAGTCCATGATAGAACTAAAATGAAACTTCCATAACCACAGTCATCCTAGTAAATGATTCAGCTACATACCCCAATTTTGATATCCAACAGGTGTGTAAGCCACGATGACCTTTTGTCGTCGATAATCCATTTCGATCATTGTCCCATTCAGCCCGTCCACGCAGGCAAGTTTGATAGCACCAGTAAGTGAAATAGTTGATACAGAATGAGCAAGGGATGGAGGAAGCACAAGATGCACTTGGTTGCCTTCTGGAACTCCAACTATAAGCTCTCCGGTATTTTGAAGACCCGTTCGATCAGTCACCAATTCCTCTAATCTAGAGGCATTGACCCAAGCAACCAATACTCCAACTATCACTGAATCCTTCTGAACAGAAGCACAATATGCGAAGACTTAAACTATGAACGGCACGGAATGTACGGGCAGAAAACGGAAAAGCGGCTTGTAATACATCACGAACAAAATTAACATAGAGAACTCATCGAGAAATAAACCTAATCTACACCACAATCTGCAAGTAATATCGCTGTCAAAAAATTCAAGTTATGTGACAGTATGTTGTCCCAGAAAATCATTACAAAAATAATAGAAAGGAAGGCAAAATGTCGCATTAACTATAATTGCTTTTGAGTAGAAGTAGTAGTGAGACGTTAATTAAACGGCCTGAAAACTGTCCAATCTTTGGCTCAACTTCAGTACAGCATTTTAGAATAGAAAAACACTGAAACGGCAGCAGATACTGTGCCCGCAAGTCAGGTACTTATGATCTAGAGGCACAAACCTTTAAATTAGAAACAACAGCATTGGAGTCTTGTAGCATGAGCGCACCATTGGTTGCCTGTAACAAAGAAATTCAAATGAATAAATGCATAACTTCAGTGAAAAATTAAAAACAAGGAAGAGTAGTGAGTCAAAATTAATGTGCCACAAAATTAGCCATTTCAAACGCATGAATTACAAGAGAAACGAACAATATATCACCATCGAGATCAAGGTTGAGTTGACACATATAGCTCTTATATCTAAATATACATCTCTCATAGACAACACCATAAGACATAGAAATACTAAAACTAATTTCTAATCCATGCTGACGAAAATTTACGCCTGAAAAAAGAAAATAAACAAAAAGGTTGACATACACTCAAGAAACCAAATGCAAGTTATTAAAATTCATAGACCCACCATAGTGATATTTCTTGACACCAGATATTTCCAACCATCTGACGTATAAACTGGCATATCAAAATGAACATCCACCTTCACCAGATTGAGTGTCGATTCACTCAACGTTTGGTTATACTCCGTTTCATTGGTAGCCATCATTAAGGATCCTGTGGCGTTGTAGACCGCTGCACTCATGAATTCTGACACTGCTGTAACAGCTGATTCTAAATCCCTCCTAGCAGTAGACTCGTTTACATTAACCCGGCTTACTAAATAATTAATAATCTGCACCCTTGTTGCGACCAGCTGCATTTTATCAATCTCACCATTAAGGTAATCTTGCAGCTGTTCTGTTCTCAGAACAGCTACTGTTGTAAGACGTCTTTCTATTTCGTGCACAAGCTGGGCGCGGGAATTAAACCACATAACCAGGGACAAAACTCCCCCTGTCACCACCACCTGCAGCACATTTTTTGAAGTGAAATGACAGTACCAATGATACGCTGTGAAAAGGATTGCTATTAAAAATACACACCGTACCATCAAGTAGCCACTAAGTCCTGAGACAATTCTGCGTATTTTCTTCGAGAATATGCAGAAATACTCCTAGCATCAAATATTTAAGAATCCTAGAAGAGGGAGAATTTCATCGTTGGGTTCCGTACCAGTGTGCCAATGAATAGAGTCAGCTTTAACCATATGGATGCTTTCAGACTCCTCTTTGGACGCCTTGACGATGATCGCCCGACCAGTACAACATCCGAAGGACTGTCCATTTCAGTCATTGAGGTCGATGCTCTCTCGACCTGAGTAAGACTTATTCCACTTCCCTCTCCAACAAGCCCTCCAGAATTCCAGCATTCGACCATTTCGTACCTCCCCCCACCTACCATGTAACCGACACTATAATTACGAGCTATATTTCCATAAACTAGCCAACCTACATCAGTCTACTCTACACATTTGCATCAGAAATGGTGAAAATGAACTTTTCCAGGATTGGGCAAGTGAAAGATTGTCCCACTAGACTTTTTAAAACATATCTGCAGTCTCGAACCTGCAATACTGAGAGAACATCGCGTTACAAGAACTGTAACTCAAAAATATTTAAGCTGAAATAAAAATATCAAACACTCGCCACGCCGCCCCCCATCAAACTAAAGTCAATATCACCAAATTCATGTAACCAAGGCACGGTTGGATGATCCATTATCCCAGTCAGCTACGAAAGTTGTATAGCCCTACAATCTTAAGTGCGGAAGTTAATCCGGAAACACGCGAACACACAGCATGTAGAGTGACTGCACTCCAAACTGACAACTAGCCAAGATCGCAATCTCCACAAGTTACTAAATCAATCAAATAGTAAAAGCGACGACTCATCCAGTTCAAGACAGCGAGCTTCACTACGACTCCATCTCCTCCCACCCGCGCAGGCTCTCGCTCAAGCTCAAGCTTCCAAATTCCAATTCATTCCAACTCTACACATTACCGACCTCGGTTCCCTCATTCCCTCAACAACGCCCAATCCGCTTCTTCCTCGCCCAAAGCAGCTCAAAAACGCCTTCCCCCAATTTCAGTCAAACAGTACGCCCAACCCTAACCTACCTCTGTGCACCCGGGAACGCGCTTGAGATCGACGTCCGCCCCACTCCATCCAAGTCATATCCACGAGGACGCCACGCCGCCACTCTCAACCCCAATCTGCGACCACTTCCTCTCTACACCATCATCAAACCCTAGCTCCTCCTCCTCCAGAGCACCAATCTCCTGTTCCTCCAACCATAATCAAAATCACCAACTAGCTTCATCTTTGTGAAACGACTCCTGCGCCGCTTCAAAAAAAACCTTCTCTCACAACTCCAAAACTCCTCGCCATCTCCCTCTCTCGCTTTCTGCCAACACCGCAAACCACCACCACATCACCTACTGGGCATTTCCCCCGTCCTCCGCCCACGGTCCACTGTTTCCAACACCACAAAATTACACCCCGCGTTCCCAGACAACAATCTCCACTATCCTGACGCTCCGAATCCCCGTCCCACCCGCCTTCCCTTCTCTCATCAATCGCCGCAAGAAGGTTTGCAGCTCGAATGGTGCAGTCCTACAACTGCTGCATTCTCACCTGACCACTTCGCTACACCGTCCTCCACAATGCATCCATCCATACATCCATATATACACCTACCCATCCAATCATTCTTCATTCAAGAGTTCCCGCCTCCCTCATTGCAACCCCACTTCATCCACGAAACGTTCATCCATACGTCATTCATCCTTTCCTCCAGCTTTAGCCGGCGTCGTTCCAGTGCCCTATTCCCCGGTCCTCGCTCTCTGATTCCCTCAAGTGGCAAGCAACCACACAACACAAGGCAGCAAGCAGTTATTATGCAAACAAAACCCATGCATAAACAAAGGCTTTGCAGGGGAGCTCCGTTCCCCGAGTTCCCCACCCGTTACCTCCTCCTCCTGATCCGGTGGTGGGGGGCTTTTTCAGCCCCGGCATCTTCGGGGTTCACACTGACAGCGTAGAAGCTCTCTTGTTGGCGCCACGTGGAGGGTTCGTAAGAGCACATGTGGACGAGCGGGGCCGGGGAAGTCCGACGTGTCGGTGGGTTCCGTCATCCCCCTCTCCCCGGTACCTTGTCAACCATAAGTTATCGTCTGACGAGGTGTTTCCTCGAGGTTTCGAGCCCTGGGGGGGGGGGATGTTTTATGCCCTTAACCCAGGTGGTACTTTTTGTAATACTGGGTTTGCACTAAAAGACAATATCTGGGGTATTGAAAGCCCATTTGACTTCCCCACTTTGGTGTGCTTCTATCTGAGCTTCTCAAATTTTAAACCTCCCACTTCCTTCCTTTACACCCCCCCTCTTTTCCACATACGATGGATCACCCCTACTTCCTGTCACACATTGAAAAATTACAAGCAAATATTAGTGGAAACATATTGCATTGTACAAAAAAAGAAAAAAGAAAAAAAAAAAAAAAAAAATGTAAAAGCTTCTTAGTGTGGCCTCTTCTACACTGTGGGGCCCAAAAAGTTATGCATTCCCATGTTTCTTGCATTCCTTGAGCTCCTGCATTCTTCAAGTTCCCTTTTTCACAGCCAATGAAAAGGCTTCTTTGTCTCTTTGTTTTATATCCAAGCTGTTTTATATAACATATCTATTTATATACATATGCCAAAAAAGAATGAATGGATTAGTGAAAGCAAAAGGTATGATGAGTTGTCTAGGTGAGTTAACATAAACTTGAGATGACATGACACCTTGGCCAACCAACTAAAAAAATGAATAGTTGACTCACAATACTTTTCCATAGTCGAAAATGTGAGTAAGGTCATAGAAATAAGAGTTAAATATGTATGTTGAAATTAAATCTCACAAAAAATAAAGATGGTTTATTCATTATGCTATCATTAAATCTTATCCTTGGTTGGGCTCCTTTGTCCCATGTAATGATAGCAATGAAAATACTCAAAACATTCTTCATGCGGCAATAAAGTTAGAGTGAGTTATAGATTATATATATATAGAGAGAGATAAAGATAGATAAAATAAATAAATATATATGCATATGGAAATGTTGTAAACTGAGGCACTGAAACTAAGTTGTTGGAGGATCAAAATTCAACATTTGTGCTCATAGCAAGGTTGTTGTATTTGTATACTTATTACAGAATGTTATTAGTTTCAAAATTGCAAATACAAAAAAATCAGAACAAATCATTATTTGTACACACCCATACACACACTCATGACAAGGTGTGTGTGTAAAAAACAAAGTGCTAGAATGAGTTGTTTCAATATAATTATTTCAAATCACATTCTAAAAAGTCTTTAAAAAAATCCTCTAAATTATAGGAAAAGTAGATTATTGATAAAAATCTGATTGAAATTTTCATGGAATTGTGGTGAGAATAGCAAAATTGTGGTGGCATTAGCAATATCATATATATATATATATATATATATGGTTATGATATGATTTTGGTTGGGAACAACTTAAAAGCTGACATCAAATGCTCTATATTTGAATGAATAAAATATATACATGTATGTGAATATATAAATTCTTGAAATACTTTACATTTATATTTCACTTTATTATTTTTTAAACCCAACTTACAACCATGTATGTATATATATATATATATATATATATATATTACAACTATTTTTTTCTTGAGTGGATCAAAAGCAATATATATATATATATATATATATATATGCATACATGAAAAAGAAAATTCTTCAAAATTTTCAAGAAAAATTTAAAAATTCTGTTTTTACAACCCGGATTTTTTATTTAAATGTACAGGAAAATGTAAAAAGTAAAAACCCAGCTTCATATACATATTTACTATGCACAAATTGTATAGATTTACAGATTCAAAGTAAAACTATGGTTTTGAACCAAGTGGTCATTTCAATTATAGGAAATTAAAATATTTCCACAAGCTATAGATTTCGTAATAGTAGAGTATTCTCATTTTATTCAAAACATTACGTCAATGCATATATCTGGATATATCTTCAAAGATTTGGAAAATCGTTACATGTGACGTCAATGTTGCAATTATCACACATTAAACAAAATTACTAATTACGGACATAAACTCCTGGGAATTCAAAGAAAATGCAAACCACTTATCATACTGTCGAGGGTTCTGAAGTAATGACACTAGTGATAAGCATTACTATTACTACTGTTATTTTTTACTCTGAAAAGAATCAGATATTCAATTTAATGCCAACTCTTTGAAGAACATTTGTCTAACAACTTTAAACATTTGTTGGATGCTCTACCTAAACAACTTTCGGTTTGATTGCTATACTTTCAGACACAACTTGAAGTGACTACCCAATATTCAATAATTATCAGCTCAAACCAACACTTAACTTTATTACTGGTTAGTCTGGATTATTATTTTCCTCCTTCAACAGCTCACAATTGATGGTTGTGAAATTGTTCAAGTATTGGAGCTTACTTAATCATAGTTAGTGCAAGATGAAATGCAACTTAATGCTGAAAAATACACAGGAAAAAAGCAATTCCACCTTGGAATGTTTCATATCATTCTGCATGTGTGGCTGGGAATTAACAAGCTCCATGAAGTTTGTAGATTGATTACAAGCAAATAGATCATTCTAACACCTGACAATTATCCGTTCACTAAAAAGGAACAAATAGGGTGGACCACACCAATATCCAATTTGCTATACTATTTGTGGAATTTTTATGCCCTTGAAGATTTTCCATCCTTGGCATTGACCTCCAACAATGGATGGGTTTATTTTTATTAATGCAATGAGCCCAATATGACGTAGCCCCAAAATCTAGCTGGCTTCGAACCCCGTGCAACTTTAATTTTGTACAGGTGCGTTTTTGACACATTTTGTGGTTAAAGTCTATTTAAATATATAAAAAAGTTTTTTTTTTAAAATTGTTTGCATAAGATGAGTTCTCATATTAGGGTCTTTCGGTATAGAGTCCACTAAATATTTATATATACACATATACAGATAGAGAATTGTGACAAAAAATGAAATCTTGCTTGTGAAATGAAGAGTGACCAATAATTGTTCTTGTTAATGCTATTTCTTCTTTGTTCTGAATATTCTTCTCAAAAACATATATACATACACATGAATGAGCAACATGGAAGACATTAGAGCTTATTTATTTATTTATTTATTTATTTATTTTAAATTTCAAATAAATCTTCTTTTACAAATATATAATCTCCCCCTTGCTCCCCTTGTCCAAAAGAATAATTTTACAAATAAATAAGTGTAGGGGAATGTTAAATAGACCCAAGTTTATAACAAATCAAATCAACCATCCCAAAAAGAAAAGAAAATGACCTCTAGATTCATTTCTCCACTATTGGATCTGCAACTAATAAAAACCAACCACATTCATTATTGTTACCATATTCTTTGTCAAGGGTGAGTCTATTTGGTAAAAGCATGACTCTATTTAACATTCCCCTAAACATAAGGCAAGAAGAATGAAAGGAAAATAAAAATAGTCATTTAACCAATTAAAGAATTGTTGCAAGTTGAATGAATGTGATATTCTATTTATAGTGCTTACTCTCCGCCTCCTTCACTTTTCCTTTTCTCTTTTACTCTCGTGGCTTATTTATTTATTTATTTATTTATTTTATTTGTTTCTCTTAAACTTAAAACTTTATTCCCTTGCTTTCTCCCACAAGAAACCAAAGCCAAAAGTGGAAGGGTAGTACACCCACAAAGCCACCCCGCTTTGGCTGAACCACAAAGCCAATGCACAAGTGTATGTGTTTGACAAGCTCCCCACAAAGCAACAACTTCTTCGAGGTTTCACTTATGCCCACTTGAGCAATGTAACTGAAAGCACAACACTGAAAAAAAGGTTTTTCTTTTTCCCATTTTTCCCTCTTTTTTTGACAAGTAGAGATAGTGCTCGTTTTGCCTTTAACCTCCTCATGTGTGAGATTATTTGTTTGTTTGTTTATATATATATATATATGTTTGTGTCAGGAAAAGAAACTCAGTTGTGGGCAAGATACTGTGTGTGTGTGCTTGTTGTGGGCATCAGATTTGCTGACTGGATTTTGGATCTTGTCAATGGCTCAAGTCATGAGATAATGTGGTAAGCTGCCACTCATGATATGGATTGGAAAAAAACACATTTGGGTTGTGGATGTTTCATGCTTCTTGTGTGGTGTGATGATGGAGGAGCTTCTATGTACCCATCAAACCATACCCAAGTTTACAAAACCAAAAAAAAGAAAAAAGAAAAAGGTTGAAAAGAAGACGGGGAAGAAAATGAAAATGAAGACAAGAGTTGAGGATTTGAGCACTGAATGGGTTTCGGTAATTTTGTGTATTTGTGTACATTTTAAGTACATCATTTCATGCAGTCCAGAACCACTCCAAGAACTATGAACGTATTGGAGTTACACAGTGAGTGTTAACAATCAGATGCAAAAATGCAACACATGTACAGATACACACAAGTGTTGGCTCACGATTCCTCTTTTAGTCAGGAACAAATGAGAGATATTAAGGACCAGTTGTACAGTGTCAAGTCTACTCTTGCCAAAATGGAATCCTTCACCAGTGGGCTATTTCTTGAAGACCATGCCTGGTTTTGAAAATATGAAGCGTTCACCCAAATGTTGAATAATGGATGGCTAAACTGAGAAACCAAGGTAAAAATTCCACGAGGGAATATACAAAAATCAGATATTACTGCAGCTGAAAGAGTGGAGACATGGTCCTTATAAATAATTATTTGAGGGTAGACCATAAGATGTGTGTACCGTTCGTTCTATGCTGAAACTACTATGCACAAGTTCAGGATAAGTGGACCAAAACATCGTCCAAGTTTGCAACAGAGGAGATATTTCCAGTGTTGCTTGCAGGGATACAAGCGTAGGAAGGTCGACACTTAAGAGATTGGTGAAAACTGAATATTCTGCCACAAGATCTTGGTACTCAACAACCTGACAAAAGCTAGAGACCTCTTGAAGCTAATACTCTCGTTGTAGGATTAAATAGAAGATTCAGTCACGAATCACAAATGCAAGTGAGGCTCTACAATGTAGTATGACGACCCTTCTTTCGAAGACATGACCTGCAGGATTGGTTGGTGAGGGTAAAGCAAAATTGACCACAGCCTTTGAAAAGATGATTTAAGGCCAGAGCCATTCTGTAAGTTCAGCATCACTTCGATCCAAACGTAAACCCATGTAAAGATTCCAAAAAGTCGAATTCAACGTTCTGCACAACAATCACTCGCACCAAGTCACGGTTCTAAATGAGTTGAGAGCTTGGAGTCGCACAGAGGTTACCATTATCATCAATATAGGCAATTTTTACGATAAAATAAAAACAACTGACAAACTTGTGTGATATTACGCAACCTTTGCACTCACGTCGACAAGAGGTGTCACTGCTGTATATAAATTACTCTGCCATTTGAAAAGCAAAACCACTGAAATACGCGAATATCATGCTTAAAAGTGGAGGATCACGCTGCAAGATTTTTTCAAGTCACTTGCCTAGGGAATCTGGGCCATGTTTAATGGAGGGAGAATGCCAGTCTTCATGAACATTACGTACTATTTTGTTGAGGCACTGGCAAACAACAGTGAGTTAAATGAAGAAGTGAACAATCTAGATGACTAAGCTATTAGAAGTAATGAAAAGCTTGGAAGTTTACTACTACAATGCGTGAGACCCCGAGGAGATTGGAAGAGACTGGGAAATCGTGCGTCATAAACTGAATGCAGGAATTACAACATGATGGACATACACACAAGTATCAATATGACGCATTATGTCCAGCAACCGGATGGATGGTCCTAAGCCGAGAATTGTGTGAGGAAATGGCACCGTTGATAACTACGTCGAAATCTACTATTTTCTTCGGTCCTACGACTCATGCTGCGTGATGGCCACTGAGAGCTTCATCGAAGTCCTGTTTCAAGGGCTGGGAACAAAATATTTCCCACTTCCGCTCAGCCATGAGCAATTCACGCAAGTGTGACACAGTTCATCAACATGGGTAAGCCTCATCTATGTCAAAACTGAACACAAGATACAACAGCAACCATGTGCACAGCAACATCAAACGAAGGGATCCCCTACCCAAGTGGAAGATAAACCACGAGAGTTTTACATACACTAAACTGCTCCCAAGCTTTTCCACTCCACAGTTAACATATGCAAGTCGCAGAATCTGCACAGTAACGAGGGTTAAAAGGCAGAAATACAATAGAGAGAATCAATAGCGGAATCATCCACGATGAGTTTATTAATCTGATCTGATAGGTGCAAAGGCATCACTCGTCTCTTCCTCTTAACCATGCATATCTGTATAAGAAGAAAAAAAAAAAAAGCCAACATCAAAAAGGGTGCAAACACATTAACCCAAAGTCACAAAGTCTCTGGGCAAGATTTCCAACAAAACAAAGCCGTACCATCCGACAAGAGCCATACTCCAGCAATCCAGTAAATCCTTGAACACCAGAGGTAACTTACCTTCAGTTTCGGTCTCTTCAAATCCACCTCTTCTTCACCGAATTCAGTATCTGCTCTAACCATTCACACATACAACCTCCAAACCCAGCCCTACCCTCGGTGGTTGCCTTCTATCATCCCTGTTCACGGATTGCTTTGCAAGCTTTCTCAGCTGAATGCTGCAATGCAATCGCAGGTTGAATGGCTCTACAAAAATAAACCTCACTCTTCAACCTCTGAAACCCACCTTCAACTGTCGCGTCCAACGCCCCGACACTTGCAGAGCACGCAACAACGGCGACCACCACGGAACCCATAAAAAAACATGGCCCTGTTGACGGAATAGTTAGATTCCATATTTGGAAAATAAATGTAAGTGAGGAAGTGTATCGGATATGAACTATGTGTTGTTTGGTGGATTAGGGTTTTAGTTTTAAAGTACTACAAAATGATACTTGATATTATAATTTATAGTTAGGAAATACACATACATTATGGTTGTTTTGATGTTTTTGATTATATGTTTGTGTCTATCTCTTATATAAAACAAAACAACTCAAGGGATAATCCAAAGACACAAAAATCACCTCTAATTGGCTACACATCTCATTGTTTTTTTTATCAAAAGTGAAGCAATAGTTTAACTTTTAATCAATTAGAGATCAAAATTTGCATGTTGTTGCTATAGATTGGAGAGCGTAGCTCTGCAAGATCACTAGGCGTAGAGTTTAGAAGCTCCCAATTGTCACTATGAAAAGCTATGTTGCCTCTGTGGTTGTGGTGGATTTTATGTTGTCTTTAATTTCTTGCCTTTGTCTTCTTGTATTGTTGAATTGTTGGTATGTATAAATAAATGAATTCAAGTCTAATATATTTTTTTTTTTATGTTGTAGGTGAGTGTGATTCTTTGATAATTTATTGAAGTAATTTGCAAGTAATTTTTTTATGTTACATAAATTTTAAATAACTTTTAATTATTTTGAAGTTGTAGTATCAAAAACATCAACTTATTAATGATATATATATATATATATATATATATATATATTTAAAAATAAAATAATATCTTATTTTAGATTTTAATCACAAAATTCATATGTAGTTGCAAATTTTAACTTAAAATCTCATAAATGACTTCTCATGTAGTCAGTCAAAAAGAGAGTTTAGTATAAAAATATAGTAGTGTCATTATGTAGTACTCAAAAATTTAAAAAACACATATTATTTTATTCAGTTAATGTAGAATTATGTGATTCTACATTAAATAAATAAATAAATATACTAAAAATTAATTCAATTATTAACATTTTCTTTTTCAACTACAAAAATTGTTTATATATTTTTAAATGAATATAAGAATATAGTTGTGTAAGAACAATTACATTCTCATTGTTGTGCAAAAAATAGATATATAATTTTAAACTAAAAACTTCCAGAATAAGTAAATCAATAAATAAAAATATATTTTAACAAATTTTGTAGAAAATGTATGGAATTCTTTTAAATTTTAAAATAATGTTTCTCATTTTTATGTTAGCATTCAATAAAATCTAGATAATAGAACTCACTAAACTTTTGTCTCAACAAAATAAAAAGTTAGTGAATTAATACCAGAAATAAGATCTCTGTAATTGAAATGTTATTTTAAAATAATTATAATTAGAATTAATAGACCAGTAGAGTCTGGCTTGGTGTTAATAAAAATAACTTTTTGCCAGTCTGTTTTATCTTTAAAATAAAACTAACAGAGGTATCATACAACAGGTTAAAATGACATGTTTTTAGTAGAATTAGCTGCTTAAATATAAAAATATGTATATTGGAAATGAGTAGATCATCCAATAAAAACATCTTTAGAATTTAAACAAACCTAAAGATAGATTTTGGTTGTGTCCATGAAAATATAACTCCACATTAATGGATCTAATTTATCTTAAAGTTGGTTCATTACTTATGCATCTAATAACAAATGCATTGATCGTATTTAGTAGGCACAAAGATTGAATATCTATATGCTTAAATGAATATAATATTAAACTTTTGAAATGAAATTCTAAACAGACCTCAACAGTGTGCAACATTTTTATAAAGAGAAACATAAAAAAGCTGAATTTGTGGTTGTGTAATGCCAGCACATTATTCATAAATGCACATTAACTATATGTTTTTTTTATAGATGTCCACAAAATTATCAAGTACTAGCAAAGACAATAATGAAACAGAAAAACTAAATGACATGACTCTTATGAAAGCGCCAGTTTTTATGTATTTCTTTCTTTATTTATTCTATATATAGGGAAATGTACATTCAAGTCTCATGGATTCTGCCAATTCTAGTTAGATATCCAGCTCAGTGAAAACATCATAACAACCATTGATTGTGCCTCGTCCAAACTTCTTGCCTTTCAACTCATGGTCAATTTTAATATTTCAAATGCGTTGATTTAAAGTCAATTTATTAAGGAAGAACCCACTAAAAAAACCTAAAAAAAACAAAATGAAATAAAACTCATGTTTATCTTACGATTTGTATAAGTGAAACCATTATATATTTCATGAATATCAATAGTTCCAACTAGTCAAAGCATGAACATAACATACCCCCCAAAAATGCACTATTTTGAAACTCTTGCTTTTTATTTTATTTTATTTTATTTCCATTGGTTTCCCTCCAGAAATGGTTTGCAAATATTGCAACCCAGACATACAAAGCTTGCAAGCAAAGCAAGCGGAGCTCTGTGTTTATATATATATATATATTCGGATAGAGGGAGCCCAAATTGCACCGAGAAATAATAATAACAATAAATATAATAGAGGACCCTTTTAGTGTCCTCTGAAGGGGTGAGAGCACAGCAATGCCACGCTGAGAGCGACCCTCGAGGCGGGCCCACCCAGGACGGTCCACCTGTCACGGTGCGACTGGGTGTGACCCACCACATAGCCCAGGTGGTGCGCGGCCACCGGGGCAGCTTGTTGTTAATGCGCGACTCTGGCCCCATATTCATTGCTGGCCTTTATATTTGGCCAGAGGCGTCGAGTTTTCCGCTGCATTGGAAAGGGGGATGGGTCAACTGCATACACTCTCACACTACACGGGTTTGAAATAGTGGGTTTAATTGAGGGACTAATGAGGGGACTAATGGAGTATGGAAGCACTAAAGCTCGATTACCCACTCTATTTACTAGATCACGAGTCGAGGCCACAAACGAGCGAGCGAAGGAGACCGTTAGATGGAGAACTGATGAACGAACGATCGAACAAGCGAACGAAAGAACGAACGAATGAACACTGGGGTTCAACGTCCAGGGTAGATGGATGAACGAGAAGCTTGTGATTGACGGAACCGAGCAACGGGTCTGGACGGATGAAGACGGAGGAAGCGGACGGACGGTAGTCGTCCGGTGGAGGACCACAACCGACGACACGTCCGTCCTTGGATGGAGGGCTTGAACGGACTGTCGGAAGAGGAGCTGGCGTTCGACGGACGAATGGGACCCACGACGACGATGACGACGACGGGAGTGAGAGTCGGTTCGACGAGAACTTAAGGGATGCTGCGCGGGTGCGGAAGCAGCCTTCCGATGCGGAGATCGACGGCCAAACGTGCAGTACCGTTGCTGGTCGTAAGACATAGCCGTTGAGGCTTGGGGCTGTATGAGGGGAGGGCCATGGGGGGTTTAATCAGAGCATGCGCATTTCCGACGATGGTCTGGGATTCGTCGTCGTGAGTACCATTACTAATCTGTTGTCCTCTTGTGAGGCAGTTATATGTAAATCCTGTCTTGGACTGTTCCTCTCCAGCGCTCGCAGTTCCGTTTCACTAGGGGAGTTGAGAGTTGTTGCTTTATTAGAACCTGGGATTGTGAGCGTGGGAGTTAGTGAATTTGAATTTCGTTTTGGCCTGCCTGTAAATTCGGTGAGAGGTTGATCCATGAGTTCTTGAATTCTGAGGGGAGCTTCGCGATCGTTACTTCGGGGATAGGTCGGCAGTGTTCGCTTCGGATTGTTTGTCGGGTTTGATCGAGAAGTGGTGAGTGTGGTTCAGAGCGGTATCACCTTTGTGTCTAGACTGCACTGCAGAGGTATTTGAATCCTTAATGTAATAGTGAAGACTTTGATACTGTAGAAGGGTGATACTGTCTTTGTCGTCGTCGTCTTCCGAGGTCGCAGCGCAGAGGAGCAATTTGGAAGCAGTGGATTTTGAAAGAGGCGCTAGCGGAGTTGATAGTGTCGGTTCCTCGATACACTCGTGCGAACTACCTCGGAATTCAGGAATCATGTTCGCAACAAGGGTGAGTGCCATCGACGCTGCCCTTATCTGGTCACATAAGAAATGGATCCAATGCATAGGTGACCAGCTGGTCGCGGCTATGCGGACATGGGGGAATCAGGCCGTAAGTAGTCTTTCGCCAGGAAAGATGGTCTCGTTGCCCAGACATTACACATTGAATCGATGTCCAATGAGCCCATGCTACCCAGCGGTGTCATGGGTTTAGGGGATAAGATTTCGGATTTAGGGGGTTTCAACAATCACAGGTGCACTTATATGCCTCGATGTATGTTTCATGAATTCTCCACTAATATCTTCTGTGAAGTGCAGCAGCAGTCAGGCTTCGGCGACGAGAACAAGAGGGGTGATGGCGGCAAGGCCGCAGTCCCTGCGAAAGGTATGTACTCGTCGACTTCCTCTTTGTCAATGATCTGAACTGCCTGAGACATTGAGTGTTAGCTCAAAGTTGGCTGGTTTCTCAGTATAACAGGAGATTGAAGTTTCACTTCTAGAGGTTGGCTTGTTTTAACCTCCGGAGTGGCAGTGTCAAGATTCCGGCGTCTTAATACGCCCTGTTCCTTACGTGCAGCTGTAGCTACCATTGGCGCCCGCAACACTAGAGCTGCGCAAGCCAGTAATCGCAGAGCACTCGGTGACATTGGTAACCTTGTCGGTGCCATGTCAGTCCGTTGCAATGTTAGCAAAGACGGCGTTTTAGAGAATGCAGTTGTGAAGCACGCTGCGCTCCAGGCGGAGGCTATCACGCGTCCTATCACTAGGTATGCATCAAAAACCTGTTCTTCGAGCCAAAAACTTGCACTCTTGCCCATCGCTTGGTTTTCGAAACATGACCTCCTGTGCACGTCTTCATCTTAAGTTCTCTGCATGTCAACAGACGGTTCGGTGCGAACCTCCAGAATCAGCAGGCAGCCGCGAGAGTTCCTCAAGCTGTGGTATGACCTCTCGCTGAATGCTTTCAGTAATTGTGAATGCTTGTAATGTGGACGCACACAATCCTCTACCTCTGCATCGTTTTCAAGCGCTGAACATAGTCTTTTCATTTGTACGGCAGGTTCAACCTACTGAGGTAGCGAAAGCTGAACAAAAAGCTGTAGATGATGTCGCCGCGTGGGGCGCAACGAAGAGACGCACCACTCAACCAAAACCCAGGGAATCCTGTGCTGCAAACGCTGAGTCCCAGGATGTGTCGGCAGATTCACAGGTAGTGTCTACAAATAGTAGCGTTGCATCCAACCAGACAGGAAATCCGGCACGCCTGAGGGCTCATGCCCGCTCGAAGGTTGTGAGGAAGGAAAAGGAGCAAACTCTCACTGCAACTTTAACAGAACGTAGCGAGGTAGCACGTCGTGTCTTTGATGCCGATATGCATGAGGCTGAAGAACCAGTCCCCAACATTGATGAACACGACGTGGGTAACCAGCTCGCTGTGGTTGACTACATTGAGGACATCTATAGCTTCTACCGCAAGTCAGAAGTGCAGAGCTGCGTGCCTCCGGATTATATGTCTCGCCAATCTGACATCAACGAGAAGATGCGAGCTATACTGATTGATTGGCTCATCGAGGTATGCTTTCCGCTTACTTCGGCACTCTCATGTTGTGCTCGCTACTGGACAAATTCTTTTTCTCTTACTCTAACTATCGTCTGATCCTAATCCTATTGTTGCTCTGTAGGTACATTTGAAATTCAAGCTGATGCCCGAGACGTTGTTCCTGACGACGAATTTGATTGATAGATACTTGTGCATACAAAGCGTCTCTCGCAAGAACCTGCAACTAGTGGGAGTAACTGCAATGCTTCTGGCAGCTAAGTACGAGGAGATCTGGGCCCCTGAGGTCAATGACTTCGTACATATCTCTGATAACGCGTACTCTCGGGAGGAAGTTCTGACCATGGAGAAGAACATGCTCAACACTCTGAAATTCAACCTCACGGTGCCAACGCCTTATGTCTTCATTGTCCGACTACTGAAGGCTGCTGCCTGTGATAAGCAAGAGAAGACTGCATCCACGCAGCTTGAAATGGTCGCATGGTTTCTGGTGGAACTCTGCTTGTCTGAGTACCCTATGATCAAATACGCTCCGTCTCTGATCGCCGCTGCTGCTGTGTACACTGCCCAAGTCACTCTCGCTAGGCAACCCCGTTGGGGACCTGCCCTCCAGCGCCACTCCGGCTACTCCGAGGCTCAGATCAAGTGAGTAGTCTATCCCCGATTTCAATTAAATGTTACTCTTCTAAAACTCGCTGCGGTGACAATGTCCCTCCCATATTTTAACATCTTTTTCCGTATTTTGACTGCAGGGAGTGTGCATCGCTCATGGCCAACCTTCACAGCAAGGCCAGTGAGGGCAATCTGACCGTAGTGCACAAAAAGTACTCTCTTGCGAAGCTGTTGGGCGTGGCCAAGCTTCCCCACGCTGCTTCGCTGTGCGCTGCGCTATCAAGCAGCTGATTGACTCGGCTTGCGGACGATAATTGTCACTCCGTCTTACGCACCGGCAAATGTGGTACCCTTAACCACTGCCTGAGTGAAAACCTCATGCCCAAGCACAAGGAGATGGCAACCACCCGGTACATATGATGCTCCAAACCTCTTGGTGTACCTAGCCCTTATACTTAGACCTGCTTAGACTTGGCTGATAGCTTGAAATACTTCTTTCTTTGGTATTGCAATTGGCAGACTCAGAACTTAGCAGCTAGCCCTTCTACCCTAGAATCAAAGATAAAGAATTCCTTGGTCCAGTTTTAAATCAATTTGGATCTCTCTTGTCTAGAATTTGGCTGTGGTAGATCGTCGAGCCGCTACTCTTTTAGCCTTTACTTAGCTGTACTTAAATTCCAAACTCAGGATCTAAGCAGCAACCCTCCCTTTTCTATTGTAGCCACTCGCTGTACAGAGCTCGTTGATTGAACGGCACCTGCGCCATCATCTGCCACTGCCATCTGCAATGAAACTTATCTTTTCTTTTTGGTTACAACAGAGCTGATTTCACGGATGTATGATTAAGCTTTTGAACTCTAAAAGCAGTAGCTTACGCTGAGTACTTGCTTTGAAATCATACCATTTTGTTACAACTGTGGCTTTTTCCATATCACCTCAGTGCAGACTTGTACGCGTACCGAAGCTAACGTCTTGTTCACGGCTGCTTCCCTAATCGACGCTTCTCTGAAATTGTGAACTTTATTTCTCACACCTTTTCAATTGGCCAACCACTGCTTGCCTCCTTGCGATGATTTTGGTCGTATATCACATTGCGGTGACCACCGCTGTTCCTACAAGACTCTTCTAGTAGTTTCCTCCCGTTTACGTCATTGCCTCCTCCTATTGTATGTATTGCCGGTCTGAAAGGACACTACTCACTTCTTCCGCAGACCTCTTCACTCCAAACTCGGTTTTTTAATTTCCGCTGACATATTGCGAACAACCTTGACTCTAATTGGGTCGGAGAGAATGGCATTTGCAACTTATGCGTGCTTGCGGCCGACAAATTTCCCACTTTCTACTGCTGATTCTCCACACACCGTGCCGAGGTACTCTCGAAATTCTCTAGCTTTCAGATTATCTAGCCACTTTCTTGGCACGGAATTGTCATTCCGCACACGCACGCTTCCTGTCACGAATGAGAGGAGGGTCTTTAGTTGTGTTAATTCGGGCAACGTAGCTGGCGAAGACATTGATGTTCTCTCAACACCCAAGGCACGGGAGGACAAATTGTGGTCACGACTGCTGAAGCGAGGATCAGAAATAGTGTCCGAAAATGTGAACCGCTTCTCCAAGCCGGCTATGGCGATAGTTCTTAGTTTGTTGCTTCTGCAAAGTAATCCGGAGTTGGCACTCGCTGCTGGTGGAGGACGAGTCGGCGGACGGGTTGGCGGGGGAAGCTCATTCTCTAGCAAGTCGTTCTCTGCCCCAAGCCGATCATACTCGGCACCGTCAGGCGGGTATTCTAGGCCCGAAAGGTCGTACGTTGCACCAAGCCCAGGATTCTCTTATGCCGTTCCTTACGCTGCTCCTTCGCCGTTCTTTGGGCGTAGCTATTACTCCGCGCCCACTTACGGGATTGGGTTTGGAGGGGGTGGCCTCTTCTTCTTTGTCCTTCTTGGGTTCATCGTTTTACAATCCATCTATGGATTTGTATCAGAGGGATCCAAATCTGGTGGTTCTACTCTATTTACTGGGTCTCAGAAGACCAGCGTGGTGAAGCTGCAGGTATATACGCCGTTGATCAGTGTTTTGCATTTGTTTCTTTTCATGTATTTTTTCTAACTGAGTTGATATTTGCAGCAATGAAATTGTTTGGAGTTGTGAAAGTTCTTCGCTGCTCACTGCATCTGAAGTGCCTATATTTTCCAAGAGGATGCGAAGACTTAGGGTTTGTGTTTCAGGTGGGTTTATTGGGCATGGCGCGCACACTTCAGAAGGATTTGGACAGAATCGCAAATCAGGCCGATACAACAACAGCAGAGGGTCTTCATTCCGTTCTTACTGGTGCGCCATCTGGAATTTAATCTACCTTATCATTTGCTCGTTAACGTTTTGTACATCTTTCATTTTTTGTGGGAATAGTAACCAATGTGGTACCAACGGGTATCAGTACTGTGCTAACTGGAAGCCTGTCTTTCGTGTGCAGAGACATGTCTGGCTTTGATGAGACATCCTGAGTATTGCACCTCAGCCTTCGCATCGGTATCCCTTTACAAACCCTACTCTTTAGAGTTCGTGAATTTAATTGGGTTTCTGCTTGGCAGCAGTGCTCTTCAACTCTGATTTGAGCGTAAAACTGAGCATGTCTACGTTGTTTTGTTCTGTATCCCAGACTGATGTCAATCGCTCGGCGGCCGGGGCTGAGGAGCGGTTCAACAACCTTTCTCTAGAAGAGAGAGCTAAATTTGATGCAGAGACTCTTATCAATGTGAACAACTTGAGGAAAAAAATCATGGCAGCACCCAAGTCCGAAAGATTAAACAATGAGTATATTGTGGTGACGATTTTAGTAGCAGCCGATGGGGAGTTTAAGCTTCCAGCAATCAACAGCAATGCTGACCTTAAAGCTGCTCTTAGGAAATTAGGCTCAATACCAACTGATGCTATTCAGGTATAGTTTCAGCATCTCAGACTTGTCAATTCTGGTTTGATGGCTTTCCTTCATGGCCCGTCACGGTTTGATCAGTAGTGTTTTATCGTAGCATCGATTTGATATGGTGTGTTTGTATGGTGAACACGTTCTCATAGAAATGCATTTGTGGGCACAGTCTGTAGAAGTGCTGTGGACTCCACAAGACGAAGATGACACATTAAATGAACGAGAACTTCTTCGTGACTACCCTCTTCTACTATCACTGTAGTTTGTAGAGGTGCTTGTAGTGGCTAGTTAAAGGAGCGATATTTGGAGTAGTTTGCGCACAGGATGATTGTAGTCCTAATATGGCTGGAAATTGCTAAAACGAGGTTCAACTATCTCACGGAATCGGCGACACGAACTAAAAGGATTGAACCCTTGAGCTCACAGACGAGCAGCTTGGGATTTTGTTCCAGGCGTGCTCCGGCAACGAAATGTTGTCCCTGGAAGTATGTACTATTACTTTATTTACTATTTTATCACACACGAATTGAAATTGTACCTCATTGAAGTTGTGGAGTATGGACACCTACGAGTGGATTCTTTTGGAAAAACTTGTACAAGTTTTAGGAAGAAAAAATTTGTGAGTGAAAAAAGTGTGATGGAAATGTTTGTTTATCTGTATCACATGTTTTGGTGTCGGTCCGTTCTTTTGAGTGTCGCATAATTTTGCACTACAAGTGGACGCATATCTGATACTAATATACTGCAAAACTCATTCAACTCAGTTGTAGAGTTTTGGGGTTTGCCCCAAGACCTTTGCACTCTGACCACCAAAGTAGAATTTACACGTAATACTAACACAGGGAACCAGTCAGTCAACATGCGCCCGTAATTAGCACAGCTCGACGCCATTGGTGTTGTGGTCCTATTAACGGGGAGTAATGCGGCAACTCACACGCAGGGTTAATTAGATTTTTTGTCTACTGTTGCAAGTTTTCAAAGATGGATGTTTGGTGCCCGAACTCATAGAATATGTGAACTGGGGAGGTTGCTAAAAACAATTCAAAACAGTTCATGTAGAAATAGAAGAAGATACCTTGTTCTTTTTGTAGCAAAGCGAGTTCAGCATGCCCAGACTTGCTCAAGTTGCTTGCATGCACAGTGTATTTCCATACAAACTGTGCATTGCAACAGGCGTTCTACGTTAGATCTGGATAGAACCGCTGTGGCTAGGGCCGTTTCCTCTTGTCGATGGGAGATTACAAGCACTCCTCTGGCCAGACTTCGACACATTTCCAGCACACTTGCACCACGATTCTGAGTATTGCTAACCACCGAAAGTGCTCATTTTAGAACAAAGCTACGCTTCATGCTTGCGGTGGATTGCACGTTGTTTTGTCCATCATCTACTAGTGATCTCGCTTTTCTACAGAATCTATGCTACCGCAAACTTGCCCCACTCAGATTTTCGAAGCTATTTGCACAGTATCACAATTTTGACTGGAAACCCAAAGTTTTAACACATATTAATTCTTCCACAACATTTATGTCATCAATTTCAGATTTATTTATTTATTTTTACTTTATTTTATTTTTTTAACAAACCATAGAATTCAAATTAACTTATCATTCAACTTTCATCAATCGACTCCAAAGTAAAAGCATGTGATGTAAAATACCAAATTCAAAAAAATATACTTGAAAATATTATGATTCACGATGTTTCTTTGAAAGGGGTGCATTAATGTTGTCACCAAATACAGTTGTTCTTTACCCCAAATTTTTTATCACCTCAAAGATGTCTGGTTTTTACATAAGTGCATTGAATGGTAGGCCGGAATGTAACATTTTGTTAAAAATCTTTTCGATGATTTGCAAGAAAGTTAAGTTGTATGAATAATGACAATCATATATAGATATAAATTTATATTTCACATCTGCGGAATAATTCTATTTATTTATATCTATTTATATCTATTTATATATATTTCACATCTGCGGAATAAATATAAAAATAAATATAAATAAAGTATATATTTGTACATTCACAGATAGTATTTTAGCAAATACACAATAAATTTACTTTTGTAGTATCTTCCGATTAAGGACATGTCTTCTCTCCTGTTATTTATAACATGGACTTCAATTGTCTTTAAAAACCTGAAAGCATCTTCACCATTTGACAGCAATATACTTCCGGTGTGGGTGATGTGGCAGGTGCATTGACGTCACATATTCACACACGTTAAGACAAAGGGACTGGTGTGAATCACGTATTTCCACTCGCACGGGCCCACCGTAGAGGCGTCAGGGAGCACCAAATTCTCTCTGTTTAGATACTTTGGACTAAGAAATTCCTCAGTAGCCCCTCAACGGGTGCCCAGCTATCATGGTTAATTTTCAGCCGGTCATGTATTGAATCTTGTGTGTGTGTGTGTGTGTATATTTGTATTTATATGTCCGTTGAGTGTAGGAATCAAGTGGGCGAATTTTTAGCATCAATTACATAGATGCAATAGAAGCATGATTACAGAATTTTGTGTCCAGTTATTCCGCAGTTGTGAAATCATCTAGAGTCAGATGAATGTGTGTATTTTTACAAATCTTTATTGTGTCGTCAAAAAAATCTAGTGAATTCAACCACCTATTTTTGTACAGGCTTCTGGCCATCGATAGGTTTAAGTGTGAACGATAGATTTTCCCAAAAACAGCACACGTTCTTTTACGGGGTAAGACTAAAATTCCTTTGAACCTCGTCCACACTGCCAATGTTGTCTCAGGTCAACAAATTACACGACGGTTTCAATCAAAGTTGATCTAATGTCTCTGGTTTTGAGCTTTGCCAAGCACAAAGTAGAATAGTACCCGATAGACGACTCCGAACGCTATTGTGATGACTAAATTGCTCCATTTGCCTAGTTGTGTGATGTCTTGATTCTGGAGCACAGCCATGCCATCCATGATACAGGTTGAGCCATTCAAGTCCGAGTAAGGAGTATCAGAGAGTACATCTTCTTTGAGGGTTTCAAGCACGCTATTAACTAGCGTCTCCGGTATGTATGGTGCAAGAGGAGTATTTGTGAAGATTTGACCTGCGCTCAGGAATGAACTCTGTCACTCCACAGCAAGTCGCCCACTGAATCTAACATTGCTGCGTCTACGGCGAACTGAATTTAGAAATCATCTGAATAACTGATCTCAGAGAATGTAAGTCAACACTGGTGCAGTTCACGCAGTTAACTTCTGGGGAGGAGTGTTACCTGCTGTTTCGTAGCAAGAGGAGGCACTTGACCTCATGAGCTCGTTGCGGACCACAGCTTCATACGGGTACTTAATTAATGAGATGTAATGAAACCAAATCCAGTAATTGGGTATTCTGTCCCTGGTTCTGAAAAACCCGCTCAATAGAAGAAAATATGCAAGGACAGCAACTACAATAGTGTAACCTAGGATCACATTTGGAATGATAGCTGACAAGAAAGTGGCAAAAGAGTTACCAGCCCAGAATGAGGCCCAAATGATGAGGAAAAAGAAGCAGAATCCGCCGAATCCCCCAGCCAGACCAACGGCCCAAAAGGTCGTCACTGCGAATGCGAAAGATAATAATCCTAGGAATGGGATGTAAATTAAAGCATTGGCGAGTACGTATGACGATTTGCGATAAGCGTTGTGTGCCGTTTCCCGAATGAATATGTAGCGCTCCTGAAGGAAAATTGGCAGTGTATCCACGCAGGAATAGTACGAGAAGGTCATTGCGAACGTGAAGAAGCCGAGACGCTCCTGCAAACCCTTGGGAGTGTGATCTAACTGCCAAAAAATGGTTGCGAGAAGGAGACCAGAAACAGTAACTGTGCCCAATCTCGTGTAGAAAAGCTCGGGAGTTCGGCGTATATTAGTGATGCATCTCCATGTGAGGAACTTGATCTCCTCACTTCTCGTGTTAGCAAATTTTAGCACCAGTGTCGCACTGTCGTTGCAATGCTCCACATAACCTGAGGTTGACATTAATCTACCCTTGGCAATGCTGGCAGCAATTGCACCTGCAACTCCAGTGGGAGTTGCCGGATGAAGTCTGGCTCGGTTAGCCGGCGAAGACTCTCCACGAAGATGGTTGTAGGAGCTCGTCACCTTATACCGGGTCACAAGTGGCCTGATGCCCTCAGGCATGGAGCTGAGAATTTGAATGAGGTCGATGGCGAACTCGGCTGCATTTCCATGAGAGGAGGGAATAGGATATCCATGATTAAATGCTGTGAAGTATGCTGTTAGCTCTTTGGGATGACCCATGTAGATCATCTGACCATTAGCTAGAATTAGCAAGTTATCAATGAGACCCAGGATTCTGTCGCTGGGCTGATGGACAGAGAAGATCACAATGCTGCCCATCTCTGCAATGTGCCTGAGCGTCTCCACTACCATGAAGGCGCTTGAAGAATCCAGACCCGATGTAGGTTCATCGAGGAATAAAAGCAAGGGACCATGAACTATGTCAATTCCGATTGAGACCCGTCGTCTCTCTCCTCCTGAGACGCCTCGATGGGACTCGTCCCCGATGATAGTATCCGCAACTTTCCCCAATCCAAGCTGCCGAATCATACTATTCACTCTCGCAATCTTGGCTTCCTTTCCATGACTCGCTGGGAGGCGCACGTTGGCTGCAAACATTAGCGTCTCCTTCACAGTGAGCATAGGAAAGAGCAGATCGTCCTGCATTACATAGGCAGAGATGTTGCGCAGCAAATCCGGATCCACTTCTTGCCCATTCAATGTAATGCTACCCACCAAACTCTTCCTATCAATTCTTTGAGCCAATGCGTCAATCAAAGTTGACTTCCCTGAGCCGCTAGGTCCCATGACAGCCAGTATCTCTCCATCTTTAGCCTTTCCGGATATGCCCTGCAACAAGCTCTTCGTGACAGGTACTTTCTTCTGAGCAGGATTCATCTCAACCTCATTCTTGTGCCGCGAGAAGCAAGGACACACCCATTTGAAAGAATCCCAACCAAGTCTTCTTTTACTAGCCACCGTGTACGTCAGATCACGAAATTCGAGCCAGATGTCGAGGTTAACCTGTGCGGATATTACTTCTTGATTGCCTCCAACCACCGTGACCTCATTGCTGAAATTCTTGTTAACAACACTCACTGCACCGGTACTGGTGCTTCCGTTCTGGCCCTTCCCATTCCTCGAAGTGAGTTCTTTCGGCTTGCTGGGACCACCTGCCACAGGAGGCTTCGGAGCCATGGGCTTAGTCACAGGCACCGCAAGATCCAAACCGCCATAACTTCCTGCGGACATACTCCTCACGATATAAGGCGAGGTCGCACTCGGCGTTGCCGGAACTTCTCTCATGTATCCCTCCTTGATTCCCAGCATGCCACAGTGAGATCAGCTTCCCCCTCTCCAACCCGACCAGTAATCTAACCCACGAGTGACGCTAACCAAATTGCACTACTACAACTACAAAATTAAAAATGTAGAACCGTAAAGCTGCGATCGATCTATGTAGTAGAGCTCATTGTACTACGACGTTGTCAGAACAGAAATTCGAAAATCACAAATTCGAAATCGGTCCATGAAGGGGCGAGAAAACGCGGCATGCAGCTCGATGTCACGAATTCGACGACGACGACGACGACGGCCAAGTAAGGCTGGCGGGAGAGAGGGAAAATGGCGGGGCTGACTTTGGATGGATGTCATCTACATTAGATGAACGCTATTGAATGAGAGGGGGATGAATGTATTTACAGCGCAGCTTCTACGAATGCCTACGTTAGTTGGTTACTTTACATCTACCTTTTTGTGACTTCGAAAATGAAAACTTTAGATGCGTTCCTTACTTTTTCTACATTGTCCAAAAAAAATAAAAAAAATAAAAAACTGTATCCTTTTTTATGCCCAAAAAAATCAAAAAACCTCTACATTGTCCAAAAAAAAATATAAAAAATATAAAAATTGTGTTAAGGTTTTTTCTTTTGACTAAAGGGCTTAATAGTTATTGGTGATGTTTGTTGTGAGTAATATGGTTCAATACACAAGTGGTAGCAGTTGTTCTTGTTGGCAATTTGAATAATATATTAATAATTGTGTAAAAGATGTAATGTCTTTTTGATATGATAAGATTTGACTAGTGTATGGCTCTACAAAAGGTACCAAATTATAATAAACATCTTTATCTTTTGAGGTTCTTATTTTGCAAAGATAGTTTATTTATTTGAGAAATTTTTTATAGGCCTCAATTATTATTATTTTATTTATTTATTTATTTTATTTATTTTTTATGTTTGTAGGTGTAAATTTTGAAGGATTTTGGCCTTGTTCTTGAATTCTCAAATCTAAGACCTTCTCTATTAGAATGTCAACTTTTAGTTTTTTTTTAGTATTACTTAATTTCATCAAATTTGTAAATATTCTGTCTGATATATTAAAATAATAAATCTTAATGATGTCTAGATATACTAACTTTTCAACTTTTGATATAGAAATCTTCTTTATTATTCATATTTAATTAATTTTTGAATAAAATATAATATATTTTTAATAAATTATTTAATTTAATCTTCAACATATGATCACGAATTAGTTTACTTAGAAGACATAATTGTATTATCTTAAAGATAGACCTTAATTAGTAGAATTTGATATCATTTAACCAAATCAACATAATTTTCATGCTTTGTCTTTGTCGTTCTAAGTTTTTCAAGGTCATAAAAACTTGATTAGCTTTTAGAGTATTAAAATATAAATTTTTACATTATTAGAACTTTTGAAGGATCAAACTTTGGCTTAACAAACATATGCTCAAAAATATATTGTACATTCAAAGAAAAATCTCTCTTGATAACGTTACAAATATACAACTATATTTATTCATTTAAGATCAAACAAAACTTTTAATGTTTTGTATAACTATCTATAAATCAATATAACTATCAAAGACATAAATCTCAAAGAATTAAAAGATCAATATATTCTTGTGTCATTTGAAAAGACTAAAAAATTATTTAAAGATAGTATAATATTAAATTGGAATGGCTTATGCTTAAGACAAGAAAATTAGAAAGTCTTAAAATAAGACTAAAGACAAAAAAGGCCTTGATAAGAGTAAAGAATGCTTCACTCTTGCTTCCATATATGCTATCTAACTAAAAACTATGTTGCAACATTCTATAAGATTTTTAATATGTGTTCAACTTGCAAGAGACATGTCTTAACTTGCAAGGCAAGTTTTCTATACATATGCATATAATCAACTTAAACTACAAGCTACCAATATATACAACACATGGCTAACTTGTTGACCAAGTTTCTAACCTACTAATCAATTACAAATATGTATAAAATCAAAGTGGCATCTATAAAACTTGTAAAAAGCTCTTCTACAAGATATTATTATTTATCTATTTTAATTTATTTCTACTTATTCATATTATTTAGATAAATATTAGAATAAATATGTATATCCATGATATTATTCTTCCTTTCTAGAGACAAGTTTATTAAAAAATGGTGATCATATGTTGATGAAGTCTAAGATTTGACAAATTATATTTGTCACATATTTTAATCTTTGTTCTCTTTGAAGGTAGTTGATAGTTCTTTTTTGCCATTAATAATATCTCATTCCAAGAAAGGAGAAGAAACCACCCTATTATTTGATTATTATTAAAGCTTTTGTAACTTTCTTTAAATAAAACATTTGTAACACCATCAAGAATTTCTCCTACCTCCAATAAAATCACCAAACATCGAGAGTCTCTTCTAAGGTCATGATATCAAATGCATTGTATCTTGTCATATATTTAAAGTGTAACATGTCATTCTTGAAGGTCTTCATCTCTATTACATTGTCTTGAAGGCTATGAAAATCATAATATCTTGTTGATTAAGTTAGCAAATGATAATTCTTAAGTTGAATCTATTGGTTGTTGATTCTCCATCTCTTTAGCTCTACAAATAAATAAAAATTATAAAAAAAATAGAAGGTAGAATATAATCTTTTTTAGATTTTATTTCTATTAAAACAAAGATTTTCTGTTCTTCATCTTGGTTTTGATAAATATTATTGATAAAAAAATATTATTATTATTATTATTATTATTATTATTATGATAGCAATAGATATTATTAAGAAAAATCTATGATAGCAATAGATATTATTAAGAAAAATCTATGATAGCAATAGATATTATTAAGAAAAACTTAGTACAAGTTGAATCCATCTATCCAATATAACATCTTTAGAAAATCTATGATAGCAATAGATATTATTAAGAAAAATCTTAGTTGTGATAGATTTGTATATATACAAAATATGCTATTTTGATAAAATAATATGTATCATAAATATAGAATCATAAAAAGTGAGACAAAAAAGATCATGATAAAATCTATAAAGATAGAAGATCATTGTTGTTTCAAAATAAGTAATAGTTGAAAAAGTCTATAAGGTCAATGAAAAAGAATTTTTGACCTTGAAAAAATGTTATATGATTGTACAAAGTCTTTGATTGACTTTGTACAATCATTTGAAGCCACAAAAAATCTCTAGATAACAATTCCAAAGACTTATTATATCCAAAATATCTAGCTATTGGAAAGTTGTGATAAGCTTGAAGAATATGTAATCATGCTTTGCCTTCTATAAGATATAATTGTTCCTTGAAATAAAAAAGATTATTCTTAAACTTGAATTTAAAAGTATTATGAGAGTTAAAAAATTATTCTTAATATCATGAATGAGATGATTAAAGGACATATTCAATTGAACTTACTTGAGAAAGGTTGAATCAATAATTGATGTTGATTTTATTGCTAGAAAATAAAAAAATACTCTAACTTCAAGAAAATTATTTGTTGTTGATAAAAAGCTACATTTCTTTCTTTTGATACAATATAAGAATGTTTAGGAAGGATGTTTGATAAACCTTGTTATTTTTCACATTGATAAGTGATCTTAAAATTAAATCTTAATAAAAACATGCACCAAAGAGCTTGGCTACAATTCAAAATATATGTTGATATGAAATACTCAAGGTTCTTGTGATCCATATATACATTTATTAGATCAAAAGTACCTTATAGATAATGACTCTATTCTTTAAATGAATTCATGATTGAAAGAAGCTCTTTCTCATGGATCTTGTAGTTAATCTTCATAACTAAAAAAATTTGGAATAAAATGCTATTAAGTGGAGATTGTCATCTACTTCCATTTGTAACACCATTGCACTGATAGCAAAGTCTAATGTATCTATTTCTATAAAAAATGCCTTGAAAAACTTGATGTGATATAAGATTTATGTAGAAATAAATGATGTCTTCAAGACTTCAAATGATGCTTTAGCTTTTTTGCTATGCTTAAATTTTTGACATCTTCTAATTTATAATTGTTTAGATATTTTTAGAATCCATTATAAGACCATCGTTTGAAATAATGTATTATAAAAAATTAACCTAAATATTATAAAATATACACTTTTTTATCTTATCATATAATCTTATATTTTTAAATTATTACAATATATGACAAACATAAAGTTTATGCTCTTTTTTATTCTTAGAATAGATTAGAATATTACTTAGATAATAGACTACAAAATCATCAAGAAAGTCAGAAAAGACATCATTTATTAGATGTTAAAAAGCAACTGGTGCATTTGTGAGTCTAAAAGACATGATATTATATTCAAAATATTCATACTTGATTTGAAATGTAATTCTTCATTCATCTCCTTCTTTGATGCATGCCAAGTTGTATGATCTTTGTAGTTCTATTTTTGTATAGATCTTTATTTGATTAAATTAATCAAGGAATCTTAAAATCAAAGATAAAGGATATCTATTCTTGATTGTAATTTTGTTGAATCCTTGATAGTCTACACATCCACAAAGATCCATTTTTTTTTTAACAAATAAGATGGAAGCTCTTCTTAGGGATTTAAAATGACATATGAAGATCTTAACTAAATTCTTGTCAATATATTCTTTGAATGAGTCAATTTATTTTATAATAAATTATAAATTAGTCCAAATGGTGGTTGAATTTCTTCTTTAAGATTGATAGACTAGTTATAAAGACAATGCGTTGGAAACATATCTGTATTTTTTTCCTCAAAAATATCTTGATAATCATGATATTGGCTTGGAATTCCACTTGAAGTCTTTTTTCTATCAAAAATAGGTGTAGTATATATAACAAAAGTTGATTTTTTTTGCAACATGCATGAAAGCTCTTGCACCTATCAATAAGCCTTTGGTTGTATTGAATTTATGGATTTCTACTTTATTAGCACAATTCTAGACTAAACTATAAGAAAAATCAAGATTTTAAGAAATCCAATCTATTCGAAGGTTATACTTCTCTAGCCAAGATAATTCTAAAATAATTAAATTAGAAGGATATGTAATGATATTAAATACTACTAAGCTATTATGATCTTTAGTTGCTATATCTAAAAGACTTATTTAATGGATAATATCTCCAAAAAATAAAAAACAACCATCAATGACTTCTACATACATGAATTTATTTTTTTAATTAAAGATATTTTTTATTTTTTTAACAAATGTTTCATCTATAAAATAAGCCAAGGCTCCTAAATCTA